GTCACTGACCTTGAGCCAGACATCCTGGAATGTGAAGTCAAATGGGCCTTAGGAAGTCTGAGCAACAACAAAGGTGGTGGAGGTGACAGTATTCCAGCTAAGCTATTCAAAATCTTAAAAGACGATGCAGTAAAAGTGCTACACTCAATATGCCAGCAAATTTGGAAAACTCAACAGTGGCCACAGGATTGGAAAAGGTCAGTTTACATTCCGATCCCAAAGAAGGGCAATGCCAAAGAATGTTCAAACTACCGCACCATTGCACTCATTTCACATGCTAGCAAAGTTATGCTCAAAATCCTACAAGCTAGGCTCCAGCAGTATGTGGACCGAGAACTTCCAGAAGTACAGGCAGGATTTCAAAGAGGGAGAGGAACTAGAGATCATATTGCCAACATATGCTGGATCATGGAGAGAGCTAGGGAGTTCCAGAAAAGCATCTACTTCTGCTTCATTGACTATGCTAAAACCTTTGATTGTGTGGATCACAACAAATTGTGGCAAGTTCTTAAAGAGATAGGAGTACCTGACCATCTTATTTGTCTCTTGAGAAACCTATATGTGGGTCAAGAAGCAACAGTTAGAACTGGGCACAGAACCACTGATGGGTTCAAAATTGAGAAAGGTGTTCGTCAAGGCTGTATACTGTTGCCCTGCCTATTTGACTTACATGCAGAGCACATCATGAGAAAGACGGGCCTAGATGAATCACCAGTTGGAATTAAGATTGCTGGGAGAAATATCAACAACCTCAGATATGCAGATGATACCACTCTCATGGCAGAAAGTGAAGGGGAACTAAAGAGCCTCTTGATGTGGGTGAAGGAGGAGAGTGCAAAAGTTGGCTTGAAACTCAACATTAAGAAAACTACGATCATGGCATCCAGTCCTCTCACTTCCTGGCAAATAGATGGGGAAGAAATGGAGGTAGTGACAGATTTTATTTTCCTGGGCTCCAAGATCACTGCAGACGGAGACTGCAGCCAAGAAATTAAAAGACGCTTGCTCCTGGGGAGGAAAGCTATGGCAAATCTAGACAGCATACTAAAAAGCAGAGACTTCACCCTGCCAACAAAAGTGCGTATAGTCAAGGCTATGGTTTTCGCAGTTACAATGTATGGCTGTGAAAGTTGGACCATAAGGAAGGCTGAGCACCAAAGAATTGAGGCCTTTGAATTGTGGTGTTGGTGGAGACTCCTGCAAGTCCCTTGGACAGCAAGGTGATCAAACCGGTCAGTCCTAGAAGAGATCAACCCTGACTGCTCTTTAGAAGGCCAGATCCTGAAGATGAAACCCAAATACTTTGGCCACCTAATGAGAAGGAAGGACTCCCTGGAGAAGAGCCTAATGCTGGGAACAATAGATGGCAAAAGAAGAAGGGGACGGCAGAGAATGAGGTGGTTAGATGGAGTCACTGAGGCAGTTGGTGTGAGGATAATACCAAGACCTAAATCCCTAATACACATGCATTCATTTATATATTTTGTGGCTAGCTTCAGATAAAGCATTCTGCATTGCAACTGGTGTGTTACGGGCCTATGGATTGAGACTGAGTCACCAACTGTACAGCGGCTCACCTAAGAAAAACCCAGTGATTAAAGGAACAATTTTATGCATGTGTTAATGGAAGAGGGTCCTGCAACTACCAGCATTGCCCAGCCAGCCACACTGGTTCAGGAATGCTGGGAGTCACGGGGCTTTTTCCTGTTTCTATATGCACATGCATATTTACATGTCAACCTTTCTTCAACCTGGCATTCTCTGGATTTGTTTTGGGACTACAACTCCCATCACCCCCAGCTGGAATGTCCAGTGATCTGGAGTAATGGGATTTTAAATCCAAACCATCTGGATGGAAAGAGGCTGGGCAAGGCTGCCATAGAGTTTTCACTGTCTTCCACTGCAAGTTGGCAGGATTGTCTGACACCAGTCGAAAAGTAAGGCTCTTGCTATTTTTAGCACTGTAATCCTGAACTTCTGATATATGAGAAAGTTCTGTGGATTTTACAAGTAGATATTACTCCTGATTGGAAATTTAACATAGTTTGTATGGGTTTTTTCCCACTAGCTGAGCATGTTTGCAGTGTTGTGATGAACGGATTGATTATAGCCAATCTCCAGAAGCAACATGACTTCCATGTTTGTCGATTATCCAATTTAACACTTAAGCACAAAGGGCATGACATACCAGATACTGTATAAGCCCCACTGAAATTAATCAGGGCTGTGCAAATGCATAGGAGATACTCTTCAAATTGGGATTATTTCTTCTTGTGTTTACACTGTTGGGCACTCTGACCGTAGGTTACAGTTCACAGTCATGGAGTCATATGGCTGGAACAAATAAAGAATTATCTACTGACAGATCACACAAGTCTTCCGATTCCAAGTTGAATGCAACTTTGGCCTGCAACGGCACATGGAGAAACCAACTTCCCTGTCCCAACTTTCTTTCTGCTGACACGCTCTGCACCCATGCCAGATGGTCATGAGGCCTGCTGCATGGGATGATCCAAGGTGATTCATGAGGGAGGAAGCTACCAAGAGCTACTAGCCTTGCTGGTCCATGCTACCTCCTTCGTCAGAGGTGGTGCACACCAGTTGCCGAGGAGCTTGGGCAGGAGGAGGTCTCACACCCATCCTGCCTTGAGCAATCCGGCCGGAAGCTGTTTTGCCACCATGTATATGGAATGTTGAAGTAGATGGACCTTAGGTCTGATCCAGCATGGATTTTCTAATGTGTGGGAAGAGTGGGATCCCAAACAATTAAAGGAAGGCAGATCATGGATACAATTCCCCTTCCTCATACTGACACCCGCCCCCTCCCCCCACACACACTACTATTATTGAGCTGTTTGTAAACATTTCTGGCTGCAAGATGCTTACTTGGAAGACACTTCCCTTCCCTTCATTATTGTATTCATTGTGAATTACAATAAAATATTAAATAGGCTAATAGAGATATAGAGAAAGGGGTTTTTTTGATGTCATCAGATGGACTGGTCCTTTGCAATAAGTTGAATTCAGGAAGGTAACTTGTTGTTGATGAGTGATTGCTAACTGCAGCCAAGGCAGGGCACTTAGAATATCTCTGATCATCTCAATCACAGCATTACCATGAGTTGCACTAGTTGTTCTCTGGGCTGCTTTTGAATTTGATCTACCCTCCATCTTTTGCTGAAGTGGCCAATGGATTATTTTTCTAGATGAATTCCCCAGCTGGGTTACCAGCATGTAGAGACCTGTGATGATCCTGTCAGCTATTCGCAGCAGAAGAGGACCAGATTATGCGCATTGGGTAACTGAGTGTTGTGGTGATCATTGCTACTGGTGCTGCATGAGTCATCAGTGATAGACATTCCTGTGTTGAAGCCTGGAGCAACTCCATTCTGGAGCAGGTGCCTCCTCAGATGACTATGTAGTAACCTTTCTTACTTTCGATCTCAGAAGGTTGGTCTTCGTTTATTAGATCTGCATCCTACTTGTTCCTGCAAGGGTCTCAAGGCAGTTTACATAATCCTTTCCAGTTTATCCTCACAGCAGCCCTAAGAATCAGTGTCTGGTCCAAACACAACACAGTGGTTGGGTGAGGACTAGAACCTGGATCTTCCTGAGTCCCAGTCCAACATACTAAACTGAAGTTTTGGTCTTGAATTCAGAAAGATAGTTGTAATTGCACAATTGGATGGGATACGTTTTATTCAGCCTTCCCCAATCTGGTTTCTTTCAGATGGTTGGGACTACGACTCCCAGAATTCCTGACCATTGGCTATGCTAGCTGGCACTGATGACCATCCAAAACATCAAGCACAAAACACCTAGAGGGCACCAGGGTGGGGAAAGCAGGTTGCCTCTTTAGCAGCTTACGTAGAAGGGCTGAAAAAAATGAGAGCACTGCCTTCTTGTTTCCTTTTGTAACAAGCATCTCATGTTTAGGCAGGCAACTGAGAGAGGCGGCCAGTGCTGGGCTTGCTAACACATTGCCCCTGCAGAATTCATACAGCTGGAAACACACATAATTTACAACTGCCTTCCCCAACCTATTGTCTTCCAGGTGGTATGGGTTACAGCTCCCAGCATTCCTGACCATTGGCCATGCAGGCTGGGGCTGGTGGGTATTGCAGTCCTCAAAAACTGGAGAGCACTAGATTGGGAGACACTGCCTTATGGTGTTTCAGGATTTGGGCATACACCATTTTCCAGTCCTATGTATTAAAACTAGATTGTGCTGGTTGTATGAAACCTGCAGATTCTGGGACCATACACAACTGAAGCTGCTGCAGGAGAAAAATTTCTTTCAAGCCCTGCTTCCCCAGAGCATCTGATTAGTCACTGTAGGAATCAGTAGCTGTGCTAAGTGGGCCCTTGATGCGATCCCACATGGCTGTTTTACATTCTTCACTGGGCCACCTAACAGGTCTAAGGGGCATCTTTGAGGTTTTCATTGTAATCAGCCGAATCCATTACTTCACAGAAGTCAGACTAAGCCGGTTCAGGCTGCTTATGCGGACGTACGTGCGGGGAATCACGTTTAAGATCTCCAACGCGTAAACGGGCCGCGTTTCATCCCCATCCTAAATAGTTTTGCACGAAAATGATCTCTGCTTCTGCGTAGTCCCTAAGAGCAGTGCCTGTTGCTTGGAAGGAAATGCCATTCAAGTCCTTGAGGCCGTGGGCCACGGCGGGGCTGCAATTTGGCAATGGCACAGCTTCCATGCCGCTCTGCCCCCCCCCCCCCGCCCCGAACGTGATCCGCTGAGAATCCGAGCATGCCGCGGATGCGGGAAGTCATGCTGCCCAGCTCCATCCTCCAGCAATCTGCCCTCGAGACTCTCGCTTTCCTCAGGAAGCGGGACCGGCCGAAGGTACCGCTGTAAATGAGTGTGTGCGGGGAGTGGGTGGGTGAGCAAGTGACGTGGGGGGAGAGAGGCGTGATTGGGAAGGAGGATGTGGGCTGGGGAGGTTATAAAAGGGCCGAGCCCGGGAAACTCAGTGCCCTTTGGATAACTGCCTTGTGCTTTCGATCCCGCTCTGCCTGCGGGAGAGCGAGAGAGGCGGCGAAGATCCTGCCGGCTGGAAACTCTTCTGCGGCGCCGCGGCTGGCCAGACCTGGCGTGGTTGTTCGGCCGAGGGGCGCCCCAGGATTGACTCGCGCGCGGAGCGGAGAGTGCTCGCTCGCTCGCTCCTACCGGCAGCTTTCCGAGCGTTTTGGGAGGAGGACGACATGTTTGGCTGGGGGCTCCCTGGGGCCATGCTGGGCGGGCTGCTGGGATCCTGGCTCCTTCTGGCAGGTAAGTGCGGTGCTGCTGAAGGGGGACCCGCCCGGGCTGGCGGCCCCTCCGCCTCCTGGACGCGCGCGCCGCCCCATCGCCCTGCTCCTTTCTGGACCCGGCCGCGGACGGAGACTGGGAGCAGATGCGAACGCTGCCCGGTGGGTCCTCCCGGGTCCAGCCAACCTGCCTCGCTGCCGCCGCTGCAAAGGCTGTCAGGTTTTCTTTCGCGTATCAGGCGCGGGCGCTTCGTAACACCTTGCGCTCGCTTCGCCTCTCCAAGGAGTTTGCTTGGAGAAGCGCTTCCTCCTTTCTCTGCCGCGCTCAATTTAAGGAACGGATTGCTCCTCCGGCCACACCAGAGGAGAATGCCCAGTTGGAAAGCCGTCGGAAGATCGGAACCGGAGGGCTTTTGTTTTTCATGTCAGACCTCCGCCCACCTCCACCTAGTTCAGTAAAGCAACAGGTAATAAAGGGAAGAGCGGGAGAGCCTTACACGTCCGAATCCTCTTAGATCGAACCTGATTTTGGCCTCTCACGTGTTCACCGCGAGGGATGTTTTGGGAGGTTTTCTTCCACCCAAACACGACTTCCGAGTAAAGTGGTCGGGATGCCGATGCGAGTTGCTCGACTGCAACTTCTCTCCAGGAAAGCTGCGCGGATCATAACGGATTAATGACTTGTGCCCGTAACTTGCATGTACCGACGTGCGTGGCCCTTCCGCGTGAACGTTTTTAAAAGTCTTGCTTTTCATTTCCTAGAGAAAAGGATGCACCCCACCCCGGTTCCTCAGGAGCCCGTCTGTCCCCGTCCCCCCCACCCCCTTGTCTCCCTCCTAATTCTGACACTTCTAATGGTCAGATCTGTCTACTTGTGCTGGGAAGAAATAAGGATGGACTTCTTAGGATGGGGCACTAATGTTTCTACATAGGATATGAGGATATGCATTCTCCGCCACCCTGCGGGTTATTATCAACATATTAAAAAGGCAAACCAGATCAGAAACGGCTGGAACATTGAAAGTTTGCTCCTAGGAAGTGACCCTTATTTTCTACCATGGCATGGGTCTGAGAACCCAGGGTTGGAACGATCCAAACAAGCATGAGGCTCCAGCCTATAGGAAGGGATGCTGGGGCTGGCATCCTTAACAAGCAGCAGAAAACGTTTCAGTGGAATTTAGTTCCGAATCCACATATTTAGGATAGTGCTGAGCTCAGGCTAACTTGCCTGCAATGGGCCACTTCCCGTGTAATTTGGGACTGGGCTTAGTGAATGAATCTGACTTTTCATTAGGAGAGGATACTGCAGGTGACCAGCTTCTGTTTCCAACCCAACACCACAGAGAAGGTCAACACATCAGGAGAGGGAATCATGGTATGGCATGTCATCCAGATTTGTTTCCTTCACTATACCAGCTCACTGCCAATGTTGTGTGAAATGAGACCAATGCCTTGAAGGAAAGGGTAGGGACCGGGCATGGCTGCTCTGAAGAACCAGCTCTCCATTTACCTTAGCACTGAACCACAGTAGAAGGTAGCACCCGGTCTTTAAAATACTGCATTGCATACTGAAAATAGGGAACTATTGTACTTGGCAATTTGGAGAGGGAGGTTGGAAAACTGATCTGCAGGACCTGGTCATGGGCAACCCTGGTTAGGATTAGAAGGGTGGCAATGGCACCAGCACCTCTTTTCTCTGCTTTAGAGTACCCTTCTCCAACCTGGCACCCTCCAGATAGGTTGGAGTACAATTCCCATCATCCCCAGTCAGCAGGCCTCCATTGGTGAGGTTGGTGGAAGTTTCATTCCAACCCATTTGAAGGGTGTCGTGTTGAGGGATCTGGTCTAACTTCTTGGGCACGCTCAGGACAGATCTAAGCAGGGCTTGGTGGCAAGGAGGACGATTTCAGGAGTGCAATTTATTCTCTGGTGTTGCATTTCTGTACCAAGACCTGTGGCACAGTGGAACAGAAATTTCAGTTGGCTTGAGACTAGTCAGTATTTCCATTCTAAATGCATTGAAATGGAAATTTCATTGGTTAAAAATAAAAGTTGCTTTGTGATAAAGACAGCACGCCTGGGAACAAGTGCCACGCAATTCCGTGCAAACGTGCTTGCGGATGAACGTAGAGTTCGGTAACTGAAGTTTTGCTCTTACATTGCATTGTACTAATTTGAACACTAAAGGCATTTTTACAGGTGACAGGGACTTTTGTGTTTAGTTATTTATTTACATTTTGTTCATTTCTTTGATTAGTTTGCTTGCCTTGTTCTGTAATGTTCTGTAAATTTACTTTGAATGTGTACTGAACTGAAAAGGGGCTCACTTTCATAATTCATAAAATCACATCATAAATTAAATTCCTAAATGTAAAATGTGAATTTAAATTCATAAATCATTGTTTATGAGGAGAGCAAATTTCTGAGTAGACAGATAAGGGCCACATCATATCTTACTGGTACAGTTCAGCCAAAGAATGGTGCTAGATAAGTGATAGAATTAAACATGCTCATAAAACTTTCAGTTTGGACTGCAATTGTGTTTGCCAGTGTAAAAGTATGAACAACAGTCATGCATCCTCAAACATGTATACATGAATTTGAGGGCCCTGATTACTATGTGGTTCACTGATATGCATTTTGTTATCGTTAATACTAATGTATGTTTGCAGGCATTCTTACCATTTCAGATTTAAAGTGACCCTTAGGCTACACTCCCATGCACATTTACCTGGGAAAAAGCCCTACTGAACACTCTGTGACTTACTTGTAAGTAAGCATGCTCTGCTCAGATGTTCAGCTGGGCAATGCTCTGTGTTTTATACAGATGTACACATAAGATGTTTAAGATTTACACGCCTGTAAAATATAGATGTGCTAAATATCTGTTTGGAAACAGATATCCTATAGATAAATTTAGATAAATAGATTTATCAGAAAGATGAAATGGATGGAAGCTAGATTTAGGTGCCACTGGTCTAGCAGACGACACCCTCCTCTGTATGGCATCCTCTCAGGAACCTGATGGGTGAGCTGTAGTGTGAGAGGAGAACCTATGAAAGTCAGGTAGAAGTGCCTTCCTTCCACCGCAGGTAGCCCTTCGAGCCAACCCAATGGGTTCTTGTTTAGTGTATCCTTTGTGATCAATCCATAATTCCAAGTGATGCAGTTTTAGAGGCAATGTAGAGAATTTGTAAGTATTACAGGAGCATTTCAGGGAGAAATTTAATATTTTGTCTTGAGTTTTCTTTTCTTGGACCCAGAGTGCATGGAGACATTTCCTCATATTTATAGTGCTTTAGCTGGATTTCCTTTGGGTTACACAATGTTAAGAACAATGTATTAACTGAAATGTGTATGAAAAAGTGACACATCTTGGAAAGACTACCTGTGCTGCAGTTGACGCTTAAAATGAGTTCTGGTAGACTACTTGGGCATAATTAAATTTAGGCGGACATCCTCTGCATAGTTACTTGACTTTAGTGTGTTTTCAGTTAAGACTTCTACTGTGCAACCACCTTACTTCATTAACTGAATTTTACAGGGGTTCAGGTATCATCATTTTTGCTTGTAGCTTTCCCACCATTGTTTTCCCACCGTTTTGTCTATCTTAATAGAAAAAAAGTTAAAGAAAAGCTCATACAGTCGAACAAGTGGCCCACCCCTGCAGTCCCAAACTGCCTTACTACTTCTACAAAATTCAGCAGTGGTAGTGATTAGAAAGAGCTAGCAGAAAGCAAAATAGTCCCTTCTTGCAACCACTGCAACGCTGCCTCTCAGCAGCCACCCACCACTTCACCCTCTAAGAAGCTGTTTGGGAGCTTTTCCTGTCCACTATTCTATGGTTGCATTTAAGTGGCAGATTTGGTGGTCGGCCAGAGGAGTGTAGCTTATGGGATAGTCTGGAGAAACAGTAGAGCCTTCCAACACCTACAAGTTGGTATGGCCACACTATACATTTGATTGTAGGGCCAGCCCTTCTGGAAGCACCCATAGTGCTTCACAGGACATGTGGTTACCATGGTGGTTGGGCTGGGGTTTTTTTGCTTTGGTGTGCCTGACAGATGATCAGACACATGGAGGTAACTCTCCCCATTCCTCCATCACTTTCGTCCTCAGGTTCTCCAGGTGGTTTCCCAGGGGACACCATGGGGATGAATGAGGCTGCATTATCGCAAGCCGAGTTTGGCTCACCACAGCTGTCGAGCAGTCTCTGTTGCGTGAACAGGGCTCATGCCCTGAAGTGCAGCAGAGAGGATGGGGGCACCTCTGATCAGGCACCTCCTGCCCCAGAGGGTATGGCTGGAGCCAAAATGGGGGGGGGGGATCAATTGCAGAAGCGAGCAGCATCACTCAGCAGATTTCTTCCCCCATCCCCTGCATGTCTGAAGAAAGAATCTCGTGCATGGTGAGGAGAACCAGCTGGCCAGCAGTGCTTGGTTTGGGGCAGTGCAGCTGATTCCCCACTTACCCTTCCTTTCTTGCTTCCACTGGCGAGAGAGATACCCCTAGTCTGGCCCTGAGCTGAGCACCTGTTTTGCAGGTGGCAGCAACAAGGGGGAGGGACCATTCACCCTCCCCTTCTCACTTGCCAGAGAGGCATCCCCAGCCAAACACCCGTGAAGTGAGAATGGGGGCAATGGGGGAATCTGCTGAGCAGCGCAGCCACCAGTGGGGAGCCACCACCAGGCTGATTCTCACCCCGAACACTCCCATGTGGGGCTTCCCTCAAGCATGCATGTGGGGCGGCAGCAAAGGAATCTGCTGCCCAGTGCTGCTCTTTCCTGCAGCACCACCCAGCTGATCTTCGGCCGAGCAATTCTGCAGCCCTGCCCAGAAGATATTTAGGGCAGGAGGTGAGCAGAGCAAGGATGCCTCCGAAAGCCACACTAGACAGCAGCCTTCAGTGACACTTTCTGGATAGCTGCTTGGGAAGAGTAGCAGTGGGCTCCAATGCAATGGCAAAGAACCACCACGGCTTGCCAAGTTGTGCAAACCCAGCCGGTGCAATGATTTTCACAG